AGAAGGAGAAGAAGGAGGGAGCCGAGGAGGAGAGGGAGAGAGAGGGGACTGGCGATGGGAGGGAGGAGAGAAGCCTCCAACTCCCGGTACCTCAGCCTGCTATGGCCGCCGGTAACCCAGTCGCCGCTGCTGCTGCTCCGCTCGCTGCTGCTGCGCTAACGCTGCGCTGCCTGCTCCTCGCTCCTGCGCTAAACATAGCGCTCCAACGGCACTCTGGTGCCGACCTTACCGCACCGTATCATATACCGGTGGGTCGATGCTGGACTGAGGCTGGACCGGTTCTATATACCGGTGGGCAGAGGCCGGCCTCAATGCTGCGAGGCCTGGCCGTGCCCTGAACCGTCCAGATGGACGGTTCAGCCCCAACCGGCGGGCGGCAGCCTCAAGAGCGCCGCCAGGCCCAAACGGAAATGTCGTTTGGGCCTACCCGTCGGGTCTGGTCCAAGGTGAGGCCTTTATGGCCTGTAGTACCCCAAGGTCAGGCCTTTAGGCCCTGATGTGTCCCTCTAGCCCTAAGTCGGGTCCGGTAGGACCCGTGTGGCGTCGAAGATGTAACAGATATGGAGCCGGGGGAGGGGTGTAGAGGGAGGGATTGAAAGGGCATAATTTCCGCATAAGCCCTTAAACCACTAGTACCTTTGTCAGTTCGGAAAATAGCGGGCCTCCGACCTTTCAGGAGGCCGAAACAAAATGACGGTCGCCGATTAGATTTATCAATGGCAGCCGTCGTCGGGCCCGGCCTCCGAATTCTTCGGGGACTGGCGTTTTCCCTCATTTCTGAAGCAGCAAAGGTACTACCGTACTAGTGGTTTAAAATTAAAAAAAAAAAAAAAAAAGGTCCTTATGGTCCTGGATCCTTATCCATTCTTGGGAGCGTCAGTCCGGTTACTATTCCCCCGGCAAGTCAAAGAATCGATGGTGAACACTCTCACGCTTCCTTCCATCTGGCCGAAGCAACCCTGACCAACATTCATTACTCCCTGGTGGAGGATTGACTGTCAGCTTGCCCTTTTTCTGTTACTGATCAGCTTTGCTTAACAAGAATCGCGGGAGGGTCAGCATTGCTCCGGTAGATCAATCTGTCTTGTCCTTCTTGATGATGGGTGTCATGGCCCACCTGCTTGGTGCCACCGCTTCCACACCAGCCTGTTGTCTGCTATGGTGGCGACCTTGCCCCTTCTCAGCCAGTCCCTCAGGAATGTCCGTCTCTTGGTGGCTTGTCTCTCAGGTCTGTGATTTGTCGAGGCGTATCCTGCGCCAACTGCTCCGGATTTCAGTCTTCACCATCCTCAGCAGTAGGGACGACATTTCCTCTTGCAACTTCTGCCTTTTCGATTGTCTGAGTACACCTGTGTTTCGAAATGACCCATAGTGCCAGCTTCCTGAGTAGCTTGAACCAGATTTATTTACTGCCCTTGAGGTCCGGGGGGTTGTTGGGGAGGAGTAGGATGGTTAAAGGGGCGGGGGGTGGTGAGGAGAAGAGGGTGAGCCATAGGGCCCGGATTTTGTTCCAGATCCAGGCTGCTTCGGGGCAGAAGAGAAGGAAGTGTGTGATACGCAACCTCACGCCCCCTCGCGGCTTCCCGTACCGGGTCGCCGATCAGAGTTATAGGAGGGGCGTGGCCGAGGATTTTTGGGCCGTAGGGGTTGAGTCTCCCGGTCGGAACGGGAGGCTCTCGTTTCGAACCAGAGGTTATCCCGGGATCGATCTTTCGCCACTGAGTCCCGTGGAGGTCGGGTCAGCCCAAGGTAACGAAAGCCGAATAGTTCCGCAACGACGAACTGCCACAGTAAATCAAAACGAAGAAGGGCAGCAGGGGGAGGAGGCCACGATGGCTAAGGACCGAAGACCGGGCCGTCGGGTTTTCGTTGTATAAGTGGTTGGTTCGAGGCCTTCAAGCCTCGGCATCGGACTCACAAAGTCCGCGCGGGAGTTCCCGAGAGGGTGAAGCGGCGGGAGAACTTGTCGGCACCCGAATTCGAAATTGCACGGGCAGCGCCCCCGCATTACGGGAGAGCCCAGGGAAACGTGCCGCTCCCTCGTAACCCAGGACCAGTCGTCGCCAAGAACACGAGTCCCCCTGGCGACACCAGCGACAATCAAACTGCGGCCGCCACGTGGCGTGAGCGGCCGACCAGGGCAACACAGTCAAATCCGTATAAGGCAATATTAGAGTCGGGGAATCGAAACGATCAAATTAAGACGAACCCGTTTCCCCTAATATTAAACGCCCGCGGCGGGCCTCACCAACAGACGTGCTCCGTTCGACTCAAAGCGCGCCGTGCATCCGCATCGCAGTAGACGCCTTCGTCATCTGCGATGGGAAAGGCCGGGAGCGAGAGGGAATGATCGGAGGTAGGTGATGAACACGGGCCAGACCCCGCGCTCCCGGTCATCCGTACCAACACCGTCTCCATACAACACTCGATGCAAACCTTCTCTCTCAAGGTTAGTGCGTCGGAAAAAGATGATGAAATCTAAGTTCTCTTCCCCGTCGCGGGGGCGTCGACCGCGTGCGCGGATGCCGGCGGTTGACGTCACCGGTCCAGGGACAAGAAGTTCAAAAGCGATGACTACCAGTTCAAAAAGAAAGGCGAGAGAGAGAGAGAGAGAGAGAGAGAGAGAGAGAGAGAGAGAGAGAGAGAGAGAGAGTTTACACCGAGACTGCGCGTGCGTGCAGGAAGGGCCGCGGAAGGGAGGGGAACAACGGGATTAACACACTCATACTCCTAAGCAGACGGTCCTCCAGTTGAGTTCCCCCGTCCCCGCCCTGATACGTACATACACACATACATGCATGCAATCAACAACCCTTGACAGGACATCCAATCATCCATAGACCTTTGACATCACTCATGCGCACAACAAGCTCCCATCACTCGGGGCCTCACACACACGTCCTGCATAGACAAAGCAGCAATGGAGATAAAAGCAAGTCCTTCTTGTATACAAAAATTCTCAACTAACTGCCGCCCCCGGGCGCAGCCTTCAAAACTTCCCAAGACCACCAACCACCATAGCCACAAGGCCCTGCCGCGGCCGGCGTCCAATCCCCACCACTGCTCAGTCCCTCCGACTGCTTCGCCCCGAGTCTACTGCGGGTCCACCCCGCGTCGTCACTCCGCCCGTCCTTGGGCTCGTCGAACCTGTTCGGCGCCGCGTACTTCGTGCATTGCTCGCACAGCATTGCAGCCGAGATCAAAAAGAGAGGGAGAGGAGAGGGTTGCGCGAATTTATAGCGCGGGAGGCGGCGGGTTGTCAGCGCGAGGTGCGGGCAGCGCAGGGTGTAGATGAGCAGGACAGAAGAAAGGTGGGGAGTCAGAGGGTTCGACCCGCGGGGTTGCGTGGTCCTGCGTGATTGGGGTGTTCGTTCAAGTGGTGCACGGTTTCCCGCTCTCCACATTTATCCGAGCATCCCAACTACGCAGCCAATCACTTCGCGGAGGAAGACGGGGTAAGGATCGAGCTGGGCGTAGGGGAAGACGAAGAGTCCTGCATGGGGGAAACGCGCGCAGCAAGAATCGAAAGATGGCGCGGGGACGCAAAGCAAGAAACGGGGGTGCGAGACGCGCGAAGAAGTCGGAGCTTAAGCGCGCGCGCGTGCAAAAATTCAAAAAAGATCCCAACCGAAACCATTTCTTGGTTTTCATACCGCGGCCGCTATTCGCCCGCACGGGAGGTATTAACCCAAAAAAAATGAAAAAGTCGTTTCAAAAAGAAAACACAAGCAAAAAGAAAGAAAAACCCCTTTTTGTTCGCATCCGTATTTCGGGGCTTCCGGGGGATTTTTCCTCAAGGATACGGCAAGGCGCGCGGTACGGGTCTGAGCTTATCACATCTGTGATACGCAGGGGGTTCCGAAAAATTAGCAGTCTGCCGGCTGCTGATGTCATCATATTTTGGATGCTCGGGCGGCCTCTTCATCGTCAGCTGGCCCGAGCATCTCCTACCCTACTTCGAAGCATTTCGCATCGTCAGTCATCTTCCTCTTATTATACATCCGATCGGGCGGCCCCTTCATCATCAGCTGGCCCGATCGGTAAGTAGTCCATATATATATATATATATATATATATATTTTGTACACATGCAGCGCGTCTCGACGAGTGAACTTTGGGGCATAGGAGAGGAAGACGATGGAGAGAAGGAGAAGGAGAGAAGAGGGGAGAGGTAGACGAGGGTGATCAAAGGAAGTGATCGATGTCGGGATTAAGAGGGGGTGGAATAGGTGGAAAGGAAAGCGGCCATTGCCGCGGGAGTCGTCGGCGCGTCCTTCTCATGGAAGTGGTGCTGGACGAACGAGGGATAGAGAAAGGCCCCCGACACATGAGACAGGACACGTGGCGCCAGATCCGCCACCGCTCGCACCACCCGCTTGCGCACCGACCGGGGTCTGGGACTCGTCATCACCATATGAGTCTCGGTGTAGGGGCGCCGCTCCCGCTTCTGCGCCACGAAGACAAGGAAGTTATACATCACATTGGGACGCTGCCCAGTCTCGTAGATGAGTGTCCCCGCCAGTCGCGCCGCAATACACCCTTGAAAAGAGGGTGTCAGATATGGCCCCCACGCCGGATCAGGGCGCGGCGCCCACGCAATGGCCTCGAGCCTAATGGTGGTGGGCTCCACCATGAAATCCACCTCGGTCAGATGGACCTTCCAGCTCGGAGGAACTACTAATGTCAATGACCGGGGCACTCCGAGGTGGCTGCCGGAAGCGAAAAGGTCCCGCGAGGACGGGGGATCTGGATACGGGATCCGGTAATCCCATTCGGCTTCCTCCTCCGGGTGCTGCGGCCGATGGCCCGGCTCCATCGAGATTGAGATCGGGCACGCGCGGGAAGGGCGGCGATGGCACGCCAGTCTCCTTAACCAGTGTCGCCGCACTCCCAGGCACCGGGTCGAGATTCCGCGTGCGCCCAAGCTGAACCGCCTCCTCGCCGCCACCGATTCGGCTGCCTTGCGCCCCTGGCGACGGGTGGCGTCTCTTCCTTTTCGGCGTCTTCTTGGGGGCCTTGGGCGGCGTCGGTTTGGGATACGACGAGGGAGGTCGCAATGTTTTTTCCTCCGGGAAGTCCTCCAACCTTTCCTCGCGCTGCGCAATGTAATCCGGGATGACGACCGCGTTGTACGTTTTCCGCGGGGCAGCCGCCGTCCGCAATCGTGGCTGGACCTCCTCTTCCTCGCTCGCGATCACTTGCGCAATGGATAGGAGCTCAAGATGTATGAGTTCCAACAATCCCGGATCGGTCGTCTGGAGCTGGGCAAATGGGTACAACGCCACCGTCCCCTCCTTCTGCGCTGGCTTGGGCCGCGTTGTCGGTGCGATTACCCTTGCAAGGGTATCCGCCCTGTTTTTTTGCAAGCGACAGAAAGTAGTTTTGGTTTAACGCTTAAGTGTACCGCGCCAGGCGCGGCTGCGTCTGTGATTGACGTTTGACAGGGTGGTTGACTGGAGTAGAGAGTGTGTGGGCGCGCAGACTTGAGGCGCGCGTGATTTATTTATTGATGGCTGAAGAGCCGGTGTGATCGCCCGTCAAATTCTATTTATTTATTTATTTAACGTTTGACAGGGTGGTTGACTGAAGTAGAGAGTGTA